CCCCGGGACTCAGCGGCCCGCGCTCGGGTGCAGGTGTCCTGGCGGGCCGTGTCCTGGGGCCTCGCGCTGCAGTTTGCGCTGGGGCTCTTCGTCATCAGGACGGAGCCGGGGTTTGTCGCGTTCCAGTGGCTGGGCGACCAGATCCAGGTGCGTCCGCGGCGGGGGCGGGGCGGGGGCCGGCGCTGCTGACGTCACACCTGCCCCCCTTTTAAGAGCCGTGGTCAGACGCCACACACGGGCTGCACGCTGGCCCTTTCCCGGCGCGGGTCACCGCGGCCGTGGCCTTCGTGACCTACTCTGACCTACTCCTGCCGTCTGGGGGTCCCCATGCCGCCCGCGGCCAGGCGGGGAGCACTGAGGCTGGGACTGACCCCTCGGAGCGCCTCCGCGAGTCCTGAGGAGGGTGGGGGCTCGGGCCACGGGCGGGGAGGGGGACCGAGCCCGCAGAACGCCCCGCCCCGGCCCGGTCCTGCTTTCTCCGGCGACTTCTTTATTCTCCAAACCACTCTCACCTCAGAGGGTGTCGCCTCTGGAGACGGGGGTCTCTCCCGAGGCTCTGCCCAAGGGACAGGCCTGGGACTGTGGTCTTGGCACCTTGCCAGTGAGCTGGGCCTGGGCCCTGGGGGGCCGGACCTGGGGGCCCTGGGGAATCTGGGGGGCTGGGGGCCGGGGGCCCTGGGGAATCTGGGGGGCCTGGGGGCCTGGGGAATCTGGGGCCCTGGGGGCCGGGGGCCTGGGGAATCTGGGGGGCCTGGGGGCCTGGGGAATCTGGGGCCCTGGGGGCTGGTGCATCTCTGGCCAGGCCCCTCCAGCCCTCAGGGTCCCGGCGCAGGCCCCTCCCGGCCCCTGCAGATTCCGCGTTTTCTCCTCCAGGTCTTCCTGAGCTACACCGTGGCGGGCTCCAGCTTCGTGTTTGGGGAGACGCTGGTCAAGGAGGTCTTTGCCTTTCAGGTCAGCCCAGCTAATGGGGGCTCAACAGGGGGCCTGGGGTGGGCCCGCGGGTACCGCCAGCTACTGAGGCCGGTGTCTCCGGCCCTGGCGGCCCCGGCGGCAGGCGCCAGGCGGTGCGTCTCACTGCGCCCGCTGCAGCGTCGGTAGAAGACAGTGAGGCCCTGACCGTCGCCCAGGTCCAGCCGTGGACCCGCAGGGCAGGAGGGGCAGGGACGCGTGGAGTCAGGCAGGACGCTTGGGTGGACAGAGGAGGCGGGAGCGTGGCGCGTGCGGGTGTGGGCCGCCGGGGCGGGCCGTCCGGTGGGAGTGCCGGCTGCGGGGCACCGCGGGTGGGGCCGGCCGCCCGCCGCATCTTGCCAGTATTGTCAGTGCTGGTTTTGCCTCCAAGAAATGGGGCCCCTGAAGACTCTTGAGCAGGAAGGGACCCGACTGGCGTTTTGGGCCCTTTGCAGGCAGACAGGGTGTAGCCGGGCGGCCGGGCCAGGGGACGGCGAGGGGGCCGCCGTCCACCCGAGGACCAGGGCGGGCC